GTAATCAACATGACATCATCCATAGAAGAATCGGAGCACTACCTACTAGTATGTGAGTGAAAAACAAGAGTTTGAGTAGCCCAAATCACAAGTAACCAACAAGAGATCATCCATAGAAGAATCCGAGCACTACCTACTAGTGTGTGAATGAAAAACAAGAGTTGCACTAGGCGATCTCACAAGATTTGAGCAAGAGATCATCCATGGAAGAATCGGAGGATCTCCTACTAACATGTGAGTGAAGAATAAGATTTTGAGTATCCCAATAAGAAGAAGAAGATGAAGAAGAAGAAGGAGAAAAATAAGGTTAACTCATGTGGCAGCACCGCTGGTCCGGAAAGAAGAGGAAGAAAAAAAATTGGAAAAAAAAAAAACCGTCTGAATTTAAACATAAAGCAAGAGCAAATAAGAAGAAGAAGAAGAAGAAGAGTCAAACAGTCAAAGAAGAAGAAGAGTGAAAGAAAAAGAAGAAGAAAAATCAAATAAGACGAAGAAGAAGGAGGAAAAAAGTCAATCACGTTGTGGTTGCCACGTGGCGACCGCACGTGGGAGAAGCGTGTTGTGATGAAGAGAAGGAAAAGATGCATTCTGGGGGGGGTGCGTAGCGCACGTGGTAGCACCGCTGGTCCGTGAAGAATACGAACAACTTGAAGAAGGAAAAAATAAAAAAATCTGAATTGAAACATAGAACAGGAGGGAAGAAGAAGAATGAACCGAAGAAGTGTTAAAGAGGAAGAAGAAAAAGTAGAAGAAGAAGAGAGGAAAAAAAAAAAAAAGGAAGAGAGAAAGAAAGCCTTGGGATAAAGAGCTGGTTGGGACGAGGAGGAGGTATTTACCAGCAGAAGCCATATCCTCCTCGTTCTCTGTCGTCAAACTCCTCTGCTACCACTCCACACTGCTCCTGCACACAAACAATGTCAATTGACTCTCTCTCTCTCTCTCTCTCTCTCTCTCTCTCTCTCTCTCTCTCTCTCTCTCTCTCTCTCCCCTCCCCCACCCCTCTCCACAAAAAGGGGTGATCCGGCATTGATGACAGT